GCCAGAGAAATCAGTGTTTTATTCAGATTTACAGTAAAAACGCCCAGACAGGTGCAGCTCTCATACAGGAGCTAATATCTGCAGAAGAATCATGAGAAGACACACAACCACACACACACAACCACACATACAACCACACACACACACACACACACACACACACACACACACACACACACACACACACACACACCACACACACACACACACACACACACACACACACACACACACACACACACACACACACACACACACACACACACAACCACACACACACACACACACACACACACACACACACTCAAAATAATGTCATCATACCAATGTGAAGAGCAGCATTGCGTTCAGTGGGGCAGACAAACAATGAACAACAAAGGAGATGAACAGTGTTATATGAGGCAGGGTGCATAAATACTTTATAATACACAGCAGACTGCTGTACACAATAGGGTCAGTGAACCAACTGTAAATGTTTCTGATGCAGAGCTGTCACACTGGAGGCAACGTGTGTGCTGTTCCTTCACACACAAACACTTCAGAACACACTCCACTCCAAACATAATAACAGCATGTTGCAGCCCTCAGTGGAAACACAACGATCAGTGTTTTATTTACAAAGTCCATAAAAGGAGGGCAGAGGTGGAGGTGACGGAGCAGCCGGAGCTCACTCACAGGAAAGCACTGGGGTTAGCTCGAGGGTCTTTCTGGTTCCTGTAGTGGTACGTCAGCCACACTCCCAGAATCTGAAACAGGACGAAGAAACAGTGAGACTGAGAGCAAAACAATAGCCTCTGTGAGATAGAGAATAACACTCAGTGTTTTCTTTTGATCATGAGGAGACCCACACCCACAGTGAATGTATCTGCTAAGTAAGCTTTTTACATGGACACACATTATATAAACCACCGACTCGACATTGATATCAAGGAATTTTTTGGATTAGAGAAATTATCGTATTGCTTCTGTTAAGAAAACATTTTCCTTTCTATGGCGTTTTCCATTAACCAGTCTTCAAACACTGACAGAGCCCGTTAGTGTTTACTTCCTGTCTGTCTTCTTCTGCTGTTCCCTTTAGTGTTTACTTCCTTTCTTCTTCTGCTGTTCCCGTTAGTGTTGACTTCCTTTCTTCTTCTGCTGTTCCCGTTAGTGTTTACTTCCTGTCTTCTTCTGCTGTTCCCTTTAGTGTTTACTTCCTGTCTGTCTTCTTCTGCTGTTCCCTTTAGTGTTTACTTCATGTCTGTCTTCTTCTGCTGTTCCCTTTAGTGTTTACTTCCTGTCTGTCTTCTTCTGCTGTTCCCTTTAGTGTTTACTTCCTGTCTGTCTTCTTCTACTGTTCCCTTTAGTGTTTACTTCCTGTCTGTCTTCTTCTGCTGTTCCCTTTAGTGTTTACTTCCTTTCTTCTTCTGCTGTTCCCTTTAGTGTTTACTTCCTGTCTGTCTTCTTCTGCTGTTCCCTTTAGTGTTTACTTCCTGTCTTCTTCTGCTGTTCCCTTTAGTGTTTACTTCCTGTCTGTCTTCTTCTGCTGTTCCCTTTAGTGTTTACTTCCTGTCTGTCTTCTTCTGCTGTTCCCTTTAGTGTTTACTTCCTTTCTTCTTCTGCTGTTCCCTTTAGTGTTTACTTCCTGTCTTCTTCTGCTGTTCCCTTTAGTGTTTACTTCCTGTCTGTCTTCTTCTGCTGTTCCCTTTAGTGTTCAGTTCCTGTCTGTCTGTCTTCTTCTGCTGTTCCCTTTAGTGTTTACTTCCTGTCTGTCTTCTTCTGCTGTTCCCTTTAGTGTTTACTTCCTGTCTGTCTGTCTTCTTCTGCTGTTCCCTTTAGTGTTTACTTCCTGTCTGTCTTCTTCTGCTGTTCCCTTTAGTGTTTTACTTCCTGTCTGTCTTCTTCTACTGTTCCCTTTAGTGTTTACTTCCTGTCTGTCTTCTTCTGCTGTTCCCTTTAGTGTTTACTTCCTTTCTTCTTCTGCAGTTCCCTTTAGTGTTTACTTCCTGTCTGTCTTCTTCTGCTGTTCCCTTTAGTGTTTACTTCCTTTCTTCTTCTGCTGTTCCCTTTAGTGTTTACTTCCTTTCTTCTTCTGCAGTTCCCTTTAGTGTTTACTTCCTGTCTGTCTTCTTCTGCTGTTCCCTTTAGTGTTTACTTCCTTTCTTCTTCTGCTGTTCCCTTTAGTGTTTACTTCCTGTCTGTCTTCTTCTGCTGTTCCCTTTATTGTTGACTTCCTTTCTTCTTCTGCTGTTCCCTTTAGTGTTTACTTCCTTTCTTCTTCTGCTGTTCCCTTTAGTGTTTACTTCCTGTCTGTCTTCTTCTGCTGTTCCCTTTATTGTTGACTTCCTTTCTTCTTCTGCTGTTCCCTTTAGTGTTTACTTCCTTTCTTCTTCTGCTGTTCCCTTTAGTGTTTACTTTCCTGTCTTCTTCTGCTGTTCCCTTTAGTGTTTACTTCCTGTCTGTCTTCTTCTACTGTTCCCTTTAGTGTTTACTTCCTGTCTGTCTTCTTCTGCTGTTCCCTTTAGTGTTCACTTCCTGTCTGTCTGTCTTCTTCTGCTGTTCCCTTTAGTGTTTACTTCCTTTCTTCTTCTGCTGTTCCCGTTAGTGTTTACTTCCTTTCTTCTTCTGCTGTTCCCGTTAGTGTTTACTTCCTGTCTTCTTCTGCTGTTCCCTTTAGTGTTTACTTCCTGTCTGTCTTCTTCTGCTGTTCCCTTTAGTGTTTACTTCATGTCTGTCTTCTTCTGCTGTTCCCTTTAGTGTTTACTTCCTGTCTGTCTTCTTCTGCTGTTCCCTTTAGTGTTTACTTCCTGTCCTGTCTTCTTCTACTGTTCCCTTAGTGTTTACTTCCTGTCTGTCTTCTTCTGCTGTTCCCTTTAGTGTTTACTTCCTGTCTTCTTCTTCTTCTGCTGTTCCCTTTAGTGTTTACTTCCTGTCTTCTTCTGCTGTTCCCTTTAGTGTTTACTTCCTGTCTGTCTTCTTCTGCTGTTCCCTTTAGTGTTTACTTCCTGTCTGTCTTCTTCTGCTGTTCCCTTTAGTGTTTACTTCCTTTCTTCTTCTGCTGTTCCCTTTAGTGTTTACTTCCTTTCTTCTTCTGCTGTTCCCTTTAGTGTTTACTTCCTGTCTTCTTCTGCTGTTCCCTTTAGTGTTTACTTCCTGTCTGTCTTCTTCTGCTGTTCCCTTTAGTGTTTACTTCCTGTCTGTCTTCTTCTGCTGTTCCCTTTAGTGTTCACTTCCTGTCTGTCTTCTTCTGCTGTTCCCTTTAGTGTTCTTCCTGTCTGTCTTCTTCTTCTGCTGTTCCCTTTAGTGTTTACTTCCTGTCTGTCTTCTTCTTCTGCTGTTCCCTTTAGTGTTTACTTCCTTCTTCTTCTCTTCTTCTTCTGCTGTTCCCTTTAGTGTTTACTTCTGTCTTCTTCTGCTGTTCCCTTTAGTGTTTACTTCCTGTCTGTCTTCTTCTGCTGTTCCCTTTAGTGTTTACTTCCTGTCTGTCTTCTTCTGCTGTTCCCTTTAGTGTTCACTTCCTTTCTGTCTGTCTTCTTCTGCTGTTCCCTTTAGTGTTTACTTCCTGTCTGTCTTCTTCTGCTGTTCCCTTTAGTGTTTACTTCCTATCTGTCTTCTTCTGCTGTTCCCTTTAGTGTTTACTTCCTATCTGTCTTCTTCTGCTGTTCCCTTTAGTGTTTTACTTCATGTCTTGTTCTCTTCTACTAGTCTTCTCTTCTCTGTCCCTTAGTGTTTACTTCCTGTCTGTCTTCTTCTGCTGTTCCCTTTAGTGTTTACTTCCTTTCTTCTTCTGCTGTTCCCTTTAGTGTTTACTTCCTTTCTTCTTCTGCTGTTCCCTTTAGTGTTTACTTCCTGTCTGTCTTCTTCTGCTGTTCCCTTTAGTGTTTACTTCCTGTCTGTCTTCTTCTGCTGTTCCCTTTAGTGTTTACTTCCTGTCTGTCTTCTTCTGCTGTTCCCTTTAGTGTTTACTTCCTTTCTTCTTCTGCTGTTCCCTTTAGTGTTTACTTCCTTTCTTCTTCTGCTGTTCCCTTTAGTGTTTACTTCCTGTCTGTCTTCTTCTGCTGTTCCCTTTAGTGTTTACTTCCTGTCTGTCTTCTTCTGCTGTTCCCTTTAGTGTTTACTTCCTGTCTTCTTCTGTTGATTTCTCTAACGTCCAGCGCTCCGTCTTTTAACCTCTGTCCTGCTCTTGTTTTTTTTGCTCTCCATTGAAGCATTTCGATAAATATAGATGGATAAATAAATAAAGCTACTAGGACAAAGTAGTTCAAACTATTTTGAAAGTAGTTGTAATGGGATTACGGTATCAGGATAAAAAAAAAGAACATCTTTTTGATATTTATTTTCTTGTGTATTTATTTGCATTTCATTTGATATTGAGGTCATCCAAAAGTAACAGAAAGTAATTAGGTTAAATTACTTTGATATTTGATACTCAGATTCGGTTACCGATTAGGTTTTTTGAACATGAAACTAGTAATTGTAACGGAAAACATTCTTAAAGTTACCCTCCCAACCCTGCCAGTATGCTTTCCTACCTACTCTAACTACTGCTTCTTCTTACATCTGCCTTTTCTACTACGGTTCCAAATGCTTCTAATAGCACCGCTGCTAATGCTCATTTAGTTTGACTGAGCACAGCATGGAGTAACTCCTTAGTGTTGTAGTTGTGATGGCTCACCTCAGTAAAGCTGAAAAAGAGTCCGATGCCTCCCACGAAGCGGAGCACCTCTCCTGCATGCTCCTGGATCTTCTCTGCACAGGGCATACACGAGTGGTTGGGGAAACACGCCTGCAGGACGACAACACACACAGCGAAGCAATGACTCAGGCTGCAGGGAGAGGGGATATTATGATCTTATATCAGTTTAACCCTCTGAACCGGTCCAGGATCAGACTCACAGCATCACAGGTGCGGTTGGGCTCCAGCTGTCTGAAGCCACAGCAGTTGAGGCTCTTCTCCACGTCCCTCTGAGTGCTGCGGGAGTTATTCCAGCCCACCTCCAGCAGCTGGTCCTGCAGCACGCACGCACGCACGCACACACACAGCACTCTTCATAAAGCACTGAATCCAGTATTATGCAAAAGTGGATGCATACTCAGATATTAGTGAAACTAGTACACTGTAATACCACAGTGTAGAAACATTCATTTAAGTACTTAAAAAAACAAACATAAAGTACCAAAACTAAAAGTATACTTTATGGAGAATGGCCATTTTTGTAGTTTTCATATTATTACATAAGAATACATTTGTTCATTTATACTATGTTCTAATAATATAAGATTTAAAATGAACTAGTAACCAATGTTGTAGCATAAAGTGGAAATGCTCCAGTATTGAAAAAAAATGTCTTAAGCAGGGTACTGAAGAAAATTAAAAGCAATATGTGTGTGTGTGTGCGCGTGTGTGTTTGTGTAATGCAAATTCATAGATTCTGGACTTTTCAAAAATGGCTGAAACGTGTAGATAATGTGAATTCCAGATTCTTTTTAAAGAGGCTTTTTTGGGGGGGGGAAATATGTCATACATTAATTAATAATCAAAGCAGAAGCTTTTTCATATGTCCCAAACATATTTGGATCAATACAAGATATGGGCTGTGAGTAGTTTTGAATGTAAATGGCAGAATAAGTATGTGTGATCCTCTCAGTCTCACAGCAGTTGAGGTCCTTATTGTAGAGCCTTCTGTCTAATAGCTGCTGGCTGCACACGGACCTTTAAATAAGGATCAACTATCCGTCTGATCTAATGGTTTAGATGTTAGCAGCATCAGAAAAGGCTTTAAACAGTGACCACAAATCACTTCCACTTCATTACTGACACCACAGATACAAGGAGAGCCACTTCTTGTGAAGGGAAGATGATCTTCACCACTGCCAGCAATCTGTGCTGATGGTAGTGATGGATGATATCAACATGTTTTCCTGCTGACCGCTGCAGCTCTGTTCCTCTGAGACAGGAAGCCCGTATTAAAGAGCATCCGTGTTTAATCACTTCTGGAATGAACCCCCTTCCTGTCGATCTGCCTTGTCCTCTTCTACTTCTCTTAGTCATTTCCTACATGACACACAATGCCTTTCAACAACTACAGGAAAACAGTTCAATAATCATGCTGCTAACAATCACAAGTTACATTAGGGCCTCAGCAGACTTCGAGAGTAACACATTACTTGCAACTGGATTATGTAACCTAGATTTAAAAAAAAGTAACTGTATTACACTAACGTAAAAAATATTTAATCAGATTACCTTAAAATTGGAGATTAGCAGGAAAACAATGTTAGAAAAACTAAACAGAGCATATATAAATTAAGCTGTACTGTTCTGTAGGCTAACACTTTAAGAGTGAGTCTATACTTCTACTGCCTGAATCTGCTTCATGGTTTTCACTTTCTTTGCTTCATTTGTTCTGTTTTTAATTCAGCAGGTGAACCTGTATGTTCATAAAATAGTGTGTGTGAGCTTAACTGTGTGTATTAAACTAAAACGGAGCATTTCCTGTCAGCTCAGGTTTGATTCCTGCTTTTTGAAACTGTAGGATGTGCTCATGTGTTTCATTGTTGGTGTACAGGCTGCTGTCTGAATCTGAATCTGAGTGAAAGGCAGGTCTTCCTATCAATAAGATCATTTCTGATCCTAAATATCCTGGCTTCTTCTTTCCTAAGGTCACATTGTTCTGTTGTCTTACATAATACAAGAGTAAAGAAGTATCAATACGATGTTTAACTTCAGTTAAACATCGTATTGATTCTTCTTTACTCTTGTAATTGTTACACACTAAAATGAAGTTGAATTGAACATTATTAGCCACTATTAGTATTGTCACTTGAGGTCATTGCACGTCATCATTCACACACATTCATACAGAGCAGGGCTGCCATGCAAGGTAACATCAGCCACAGTCGCTCTGTGGGACCACCATCCATACCATACTATCCATTTCAAAGAAAGGGTATCATAAATACAACACGAAACGATGAGCCAGAGCCATAACCCTGCAAACAGTGGAACACCAATAATAAACCATCATAATGAAATAGTCCAATTACTTTTAAAGAATTGTATGTACTTGTTTTAAACCAGGGAAATAATTGTCAAAAAGATAAGAAGGAATCATTTACACAATATAATCAATAAAACAAATTAAAACATTTAACAGTGATGTCAGAATCACTTTTTTTCACTATAGATCATTTCAGGGGAAGCGCTGAACAAATGGAAGGAATGAAGAACACATTTCAGGTGACAGGGTTCAAATGTTTCCTCCTTCCCGTGGCTTTATGAGTTGAGACACACATTAAGCTGCTGCAGGGGTACACGATTTGATTTCTAGTACAGTGCACCCAGCTGAATGGGATTTCTCTACATGAAGCTGCTGCCTATCGTACCTGTTGCTCTCTGTTGATGGCCAAGCAGGCGCTGGAAACAGAGAACTGCACGATGAACACCATGAACAGGACGATCATGTACTGAGCTTCACTGTCAAGGAGCAACACACACACATGTTCAGCAGAAACAACAACCCTGCTCACACACACTGTAACTCCAGGCCTGATTTAAAGCTGAGCGTCAGTTAGAGCCTGGCTGTGCACGGTGTGTAACACGAGGCCGTCTGGGTCTTATTGCACTGCATACATGAATAGATTTTCCAAATCACTGAGGGGAAGAGAGGGCACTGTCCAACATTACAAAACATTCACAGATCCATAACATACGTACAGTGCTCATATACATATCTACATATTTTGTAAGGGAAGTGGTAAGTCATGTTTGGTATAAAAACAGGAAACAGCTGGTCTGGCTCTGTCACCTAGCAACACCTGTGGCGCTCACCAATGATATACTGTATATATCACATAACATTACAATACTGTATTCTATTCTGTTTGATCCAAAAACACAAAGCTCTGAAATAGTCATGTTATGATGATGTGCATTTTGCATACATATGTGATATTTAATATTTATATATACATATGACATTATAAGAGTAGCATTTTACTGTACACAATAAAAGATCTGATTCACAGCTTTTTTCTTCAACAGAAAATGGTTCCTGTGAGTATTGTCCACAGTACTGATGTATTACATGTCTAATATATGTCATATATTGTAATGTAAAGCGCTTTGAGCCCTTGGAAAAGTGCTGAAATCAATTATCATCATTATTATTATTATCTCAAACTGTTATTCCACTGGTTTAATCTTTAGAGATCCATCGTGTTAAACCAATGTTTAATCTTCATCTGAAGAGCAACTAAAGATTTAAAATAAAATATAGTAGAGTTACATCCATTATATCCCTATTAAATGTAGTGGAGTAGAAGTATAAAGTAGCATTACATGGAAATATGAATTTAAAGGGGACCTATCATGCAAAATGCACTTTTGTACGTCTTTTATACATGAATATGTGTCCCCGGTGTTCCAGGGAACTCACCAAGTGTCAGCAAACACAACCCTCTCTATTTTCCTCCATACCCAAATCTCTAAAAACGGGCTACAACGGATCTGATACATATTTTAATTTTTCTGACGTCAGGAACGAGGAACTCCGCCTCTATGGGCAACTCTCCACCTATCAGGGGAATGGGGGGTTGGGCCACGGCCATTGCTGCTCGAAAAAGCTGGAGACGCTGTAGCACATATGCCAGGCCTGTAGGTGGCGCTGTGTCTGCCACAAAAGCAGCGAAGAAGACTTCTCACAGAATCAGCCCTTGCAAAAACAGGGCTGGAAAAGAGCAAATAGAGCGAAATGAGGCATGGCTAAAATGCATGATCTGTTTGGTATTTTGAATAAAACTTCACAGACATGTTTTGTATAGGTATGGCCCTACAATATATGTTTCAAATATAGCATGATAGGTCCACTTTAAAGTAACTTAAAATGTTACTTAAGTACAGTACTTTAGTAAGTGTAGGTAGTTACTGTCCACCACTGGTCTTTATGCTAAGCTAGGCTAACCCTGTCCTGACTGCAGCTCTGTAATGAACTCTGTAAAAGCTGACATTTTGAAAAAATAACTTGTAATTCATTTGACTGATATTGCAATGTGATTTACGATATCGGAGGAGTTGATCATTTGTGTGTAATTTTCTAAAAAGGTACCAAACTATGAAGGTAGATATGGTGCAAAATGGGAGAGCGTGTAAAACCTGATGTGAGCACTTGCAGAAAAAAAATCTGAGCTTGTGTGCATACATTTACACTTGTATAAAATATCCACGTAACTGTGAACCAAATTTGAAGTCACAGAAGAAAAAAAAAAGTTTTGTCGCTTTGTAGAAAAAAAATGAACTTAGTGATGAAATGTTCACTTGCAGAAAAATACATATTTTTAAAATATATTTTCCATTACAACTGCAACTTGGTTATTACAACCTCTCAAATCAGTCATTACAATTTGACGAATCTGCTCTGTAGCAGTATAAATCGACGAATCTGCGGTCTTGACTTTTGCAACACAACATTTTCACCTATAGATGTGGGGGGAGGGAGGGGGGTTGGAGCGAAGGGGCGGAGCTATCAGAACGACGCAGCCCCTTTCAAACCAACGCAGCTCCCGTTCTAGCTCCGTGCTTCGCACACAACAACAACAATGGGGGACTGCGCGGGTCGATTTTAATCATACGAAGCCAGATTAAATTAAATAACTACTTCTCCAATCTTGTACTTTTCCGTGCCGTGGTTCATTGTTTATTAATGTGTTACAGCGGCATTTACCGACCGCTCCAACCCCCCTCCCTCCCCCCACATCTACAGGTGAAAATTACTTTTGCGACACATTTATCGCAAGAAGTGTAGCAAAAGTCAAGACCGCAGATTCGTCGATTTATACTGCCACAGAGCAGATTCGTCAAGTTGTAATGACTGATTTGAGAGGTTGTAATAACCAAGTTGCAGTTGTAATGGAAAATATATTTTAAAAATATGTATTTTTCTGCAAGTGAACATTTCATCACTAAGCTACAACACTTTTTTTTTCTTCTGTGATTTCAAATTTGGTTCACAGTTACGTGGATATTTTATACAAGTGTACATTTGGTTCACAGTTACGTGGATATTTTATACAAGTGTAAATGTATGCACACAAGCTCAGATTTTTTTTCTGCAAGTACTCAGATCAGGTTTTACACGCTCTCGTATTTTGCACCATATCTACCTTCATACAAACAAAGACATTGTGTTTAGTCCGTAGAATATGACTCTCCAGAGGGAACACTATGAAGCACAACAATCCCTAATTCGGAATAATATTCAAACATATTTTTCCGGTACAAATATTGCGTTTCTGATAAATTGTGTAGCCCTTGAAAAAGAAAGTAGTGAAAAAGAAAGTAGTCATTGTGCAGATTGTTCCATTTCAGAATAATATATATGATATGTTTTATAATGATTGATCATGAAAGTGTTCTCAAAGCTGGTGAAGGTGCAGCTAGTTTGAATGACTTTGTATACTGCAGGGCAGCTGGTGGATTTACTCCAGGTGGAACTAAAGTCTGATTTAACACTTGATTATATTTCACATCATTCATCCAGATCTGTAAAGTAACTAAAGGGATTAAATACATGTAGTGGAGTCAACGTACACCATTTACCTCTGAACTGCTGTGGAGTAGAAGTACAAAGTAGGACAACATTGAAATACTCCAGTAAAGTACAATTTCCTGTTAATTGTACATAAGAACATTACTTGATTAAATGTACTTAGTTACTTGTTTACACCACTATCGGTGAGCAGTAGTCTGAGCGGTGAGAAGGATACGAAGAAGAGCAGGACCTGGTGATGCTTCATGGCTCCGATCAGGCCGGCCCCGGCCACGAAGAAGAGGAAGACCCCCACGGCGATGATGCCCCCCACCACCTGGAAACTGGAGACCAGGCCGAACCACTTCCCCCACGCCGCGATGCCGATCATCAGCAGGCTCACCATCTGCACCGCACACATGTCAAAAATGTCACATATGATTGGTACAGTATTTTATCCCTACATTTAAAGTGAATTCCAATATTAAATACAAATATTAAGTGCATCTTCAATCAGAAGAGGAATAAAAACATCTGGATTATGTTCATGTAACCTTTGTCCCGGTTTATTCAAAACCAGAATCAGAAATCAAAAATAATATAGTAGTATACCAACATATTACACGTCAATAGTAAAACAAAAAGTAAGCTAAGTACACATACTGTATAATATTCTGGAAGACATATCTGCTATCTGCTACCGTTGCAGTGCAGTAGGGAAATGTATTCAGATTCAGTTGACCTAATACAAGTACTATATTTAAAGGGAAAATCACAATAACCAGTAAAGGTTGTGCATTTAACAGAACAGCAGGGAGATATGCTGACATTTTAAAAGCAAACATGCTAATTGTTTATTATTTTCTACTGTCTGAGTGATAGCTTTCTGATAGATTCAGTGGAGTAATAGTATATAAGTATATTATATATCATAGCAGTATGGATAAAAACCCTTTTATAAATGTACAGGTTGAAATGTTCAGTGATTATGTCCAGCATACTAACACATTAGGACCCACAGTGCCCTGTGAACCAGAGAGCTGTGAAGGTTGTAGAAGAGACAGTAATAATAACTAGAGAGGAAATTGAGCAAACTTAATCGGTCAAAAATTATAATTTAGTTGCTGCAAATAAAGTCCAACAGTGCCAGGGTCCCAAGCAAGCTTAAACGCTAGGGATGTAACGATAGACTCAACTCACGATTCGTTATGATTCACGATTTTAAGTTCACAAAACTATTTTAATTTTTTCTGCGGACAAATTATGACTGAAAAATATTTCTGTATTTATATAAACTGTACAAAACAACGTACATGTTCTCATCAAAAGTGAACTGAAACTGTAAACTGTGCAGCTGTATTTTATCTTAAATAACAAAAATATACATAATTGGATTTTGAAAACAATCCCTTCAAATAAATAAAAAAACAACTCTGTTTTCTTTTCCATATTTTACTGCACTCAGTGTATATTATATTTTGTGTATTATTATTTTGAATAGCTTTTATAATTATACTATTTTCTATTTTTGGTTATGTATTCTCCTTTCTGTGTCTCTGTATGCACCAGAAAAGCTAATTCTCAGTATGTGTAAACCTACTTGGTAAATAAAACTAATTCTGATACGATACCTCTATATTCATATTAAGTGAGTTGAATAACACATGCACAGGAGTTTACTATTTATTTAGTATTAAACTTCCAAGAAGATGGTACAGATATATAAATTCAGAATGGTCAATGATATCAGTTAATTTACTCTCAAATCCCCAATCTCACACCCAGTGGCGTTTTTACAAATGTGTACAAAAGTGGTGGGGCACAAAAAACTTAGATGTCTATATATAAGCTTCTGCAGTGAGGTTCATGGCTGGTGAGGCACTGGCACTGACTCTTCAGGTTTACAAATATTATATTTTGACTAGGGCCGGGACTCGATTAAAAAAATTAATCTAATTAATTAGAGGCTTTGTAATTAATTAATCGAAATTAATCGCATTTTTAATCACATATAAATATTTGACCTGAGAACAGTGAGAAGCAATTTTTTTCACATGGATTTTAGTATACCATTAGGCGCATTCCCACCGCAGTACTTTTCCCACAAAGGTTCATGAGAACTTAGTTCATGAGAACTCTTTGAACCTGGGGGTGGATTAGGCAAATGAAGCCGCTGACGTCACTTCTTCTTCTTCTGCTTTGGGTTTACTGGCAGGCCGCAAACCACTTCACGGCGTATACTGCCGCCCAAAGTCCCCGGCCGGAAGTCCCCGGAGTTGGGGACTGGCTTCAGTAGAAGCTGCTGGGAGTCCCAGCAGCTTCTACTGAAGCCTTCCGAGTAAATCGCCAGAACGCCGACACCTCCTCATCTCCACCTCTCCCATGTTTTATTTTGTGTTGCCATAAGTTAGTCTCTCTGCGTTTCTGCGCTGGGCTAATGCTAATAATGCTAATGCGAGGATATGGCGACAATGGCGGCTTCACAAAACTTTTTGGGAGTTTTACGGGGCGTGGTTTGCAATCCGCCCAGCCAATCAGACATATAGCTCTCTTCTCACAATAGAGCCGTACGAAAGTCCCTGCTCTCTAGCAGGGACTTTCGTGGGGTGAACTAATTTTAGTACCGGCTCTTTTTGGTGTGAACGCGATAAAAGAGGCTAACGTCCACGCTAGCTTCCACGCTAGCTGCTATATGTTTTGCATTGAGGTGATACTTGAGGCTTGATGTGCTGCGGTGATATGCGAATTCCTTTTTGCATAATTTGCACACAACCGTGCTCTTATCAACGCTTCCATCCGTCCGTTTTTTAAAACAACATTTCCCACTGTTGTTCACTGTGGTTTGTTGTTGTCTGAAGTCATGAACGTTAGTTGGTGCTCCAGTATAATCGGTACGCCTGAAACTCATCCAGTGAGAAACGTTCCGCGGTGCAAAAATAAGTGCGATTAAAATGCGTTAATTTTTTTAACGCGTTAATTTTTGTGTAATTAATTAATCTTAATTAACGCGTTAAAGTCCCGGCCCTAATTTTGACCTAAATCAAAATATAATATTATTTTCAAAAGCTTTTTTTGTCTGATGCTTCGATTAATTTTAAACAACAGAAAGATACCCAAAAAATGTAATTTTATCATTTAAATATTGAATTGTTCTCTCTTAGTAAGATCCCATTTTCAATAAAATGGTGGTCTTACCTTGACTTGAAGATGAAGTCCATTTGCCTATCCTTCTGGACAAAAATCTCTATTACTTTTTTGTAAAAGTCCTCCTTATCTTCTTGTAGTTTCAAAAGTCTATCATGAAACTAATCGATAGATTTATGATTCGAAAATGATAAAAGTAGGGTAGACATGTGGATATTATCCGGCTGAACAAAACGTGCATTTATCTAATCGCTACGTTTCCCACAGATCTTATTTTGAGCTATTTTCTAAAATTCTATGGAGAAATCTCATTGCTTTTTTGTGGAGGGAAGCCATGCGCAGCTTACTTCCGGGTTTTAGGACATCTCTCTCCTCCTCTTCACCTGCTCTTCACAAACCACACTTTTCGCGGCACACGTACTTACAGCCAATCAGCTCTGAATGATGTGAGATGACGTATGGTGGGGATGGCAGCTCTTTGTCCCTATGGTCATTATTTTTTGCCACACACATTAAATAGGACAATACTCTGAGCATGCGCAGTGTAGTTTTTACAGTCACCGTTCACTTAGACAGAGAGAGGGAGGGGCAGGATCGGGTTTTGTCCCACATGGCTCTAAACAGCTCAATAGGCACACACTGTAGACACTAATTAAAAGAACACAGACTAAAACAGCAATGTACAGACGAATCAGATGATTAAACATGATTTTATATATATTTTATATATATTTTAATTTATTTTTGCATTTTGTTGTAATTATTATTTGTAATACTTTCTGCTGACACTAGGTGGGGCTGTGCCCCTAATGACCAGTCGCCACTGCTCACACCAACATAAACCACATAGCTGTTTCCTAATGTTTAAAATGGGTGGGGTGGCCCTTTAAAATGATTGAACATCAGACCTTTTGGACCTTCAGGTGACACACACGCACGCACGCGCGCACACACACACACACACACACACACACACACACACACACACACACACACACACACACACACACACACACACACACACACACACACACACACACTGTGATAAGAGCTATCAGAGGTTGCAAGCAGAGACTCTGTAATTCCATAACATGTGATGGCAGGATTCAAAGCCTTCAGAGCTGGGCTTATTAATAATGCATTAAAAGAAAGCTACGAGGCTATTTTTTGAAGATGTATTTTCTCATGCACTGATCCCACAGTGAATATCTGATTAAGTCTGCCCTCATCACTGGGATGATGGTGAATAATGGCAGCAGGCTGATGATCCATATCTCAGCCTTCTCATATACTCACAACATAGAGGATGTTGAGCGCACACAGGCAGTGTTTGGAACAGGTGAATCCCGAGCAGCCCATCTTGATCAAAACATAAATAAATAAGCAAATATAATTAATCCTCAAAGGGTTTCAAAAGGTATTCCGGCTCCAGGGGAAATGCAGAACAAAGGCCCGCAGGAATAAACGGTCGCTCGGCAGCAGGTCCAACCTGGAAAGAACGGGGCTTTATGCGTCAAAAAAAAAAAACACACCCGGTGCAGACCGGAAGTTATGTAACACGCCTTCAAAATAAAAGCAAGTCATTTGTCGTTGAATTGCAATTCCTATGTTACCTTCAATTTAGGTAAGCTAACAATGCAGACAGTGACTAACACTGAGCATACTTTGTCAATACCCTGGGCTTAAATCATTCAGCAGCCTGGCCGTACACATTAATACTCGATAACTCTAGATTTGAGTAGGCTACTTTGTTGACAAAGATATGCCCAAATGAATTCATTAATTAATCAGTTTTGGTCTACAATAATTGTAATAATGGAGGCAAAGACTTTTCAAACAGCTGACCCTCAGTGTGGGGAAATAAAAAGCGGCTTATGCTTTATTTTTCCAGTTGTAAGATCATTTTTTGGTCCTTTTCCTGATAAGAACCGTTTCAGCTAGTGCTGATTATTTAAATTCACACAGAGCTTGTCGTATTACAGTAGGCTACATCTCTTTATAAAAAACAAGAGGGTATGTTGTTGTGACAAGAAACCTTGATGTTGTAACTGCAGGTGAAGGACGAAGTTACAGCCTTCAGAACAGATGTTGTCGCCTGAAACCATCAGCTTGTGTTTCATTTCCTGCTGAAGATGAGCCATGATGGCTGCAGGCCTACAGATACATGAATCCTCTCACCCTAGCATCATGCTATCACCTCAGCTAGGGTCAGCTGAAAATCTCATAATAATATTGTAAAGTATTGATAACAATTATTTACAACAGAGAGTTTATGACACATTATCACCTCAGTAGCGTTACATATGATTCACCTCAGCTGAAATGCAGTTCTTTATCTTAAGTTAATCATACTGCGATACATCTGTGTGTGTGTGTGTGTGTGTGTGTGTGTGTGTGTGTGTGTGTGTGTGTGTGTGTGTGTGTATACAGTATATCTGAGTTTATCTCGGCAACCCTTGGACTTAATTTCCTTAAGCCTGCCGTGTGTGTTACTGAGGAGCAACCCAGTCTCACGGCATTTTGTGTTACATTTAATCTATTGATTCGTGTTCACCAACACGATTTTCCCCTTTTTTTCGTGTAAAACAGAACGATTTTAAAAGCAATGTATTTCTATTGGTAGTATGTTTCGTACCTGCAACACGTCTTTCTGTCCGTTCGGTCTTGGAAGACCGGAAGCTGTGGGGTTCATAAAAACATGTTCTTACTCAATATCAAGCCACGATCATTGTTTTTATTTTAAATCGTATAATGCCAGTCTCTACTGAACGTTTTCGTTTGTCCCACAATTAGAAGTTGCCAGTATTAAACACATTGGTGTTATCAAATGTAAAACATATAATTAATAAATGGGTGAAAATTGCTTGTGTCCATAATGCGCAGCATTAATATATACCCACATGACAGCTCATTGTTACTTTGTAATTCTACTCCACTACAATTCAGAGGTTAACCTGGTATTTTTACTCCACTGCATTTATTTGAGTTACTTTGCAGATTCTGATTAATGATGTGAAATATAAACAACCCTTAAATCAGACTTTAGTTACACCTGAGTAAAATTCAGGGAAGGTGATTGTCAAGTGCCAACAATCAGGAGAGATATTTGATAGTTGGTGCTTGAGAAGACTACACATTTATCTGCAGATCTCTATAAAGTATATTCATTACTCGTTATTCTCTACTAATAGTTCATTAAAGACTGTATATAATGACTATTTTGCACATCCCTTTCAAGATTTCAAGATTTTCAAAGGTGTATTGACATATCATATACACAACTACGGTGTAGTTATGCAATGAATGAAACACTTGGGTCACAGGTTCCTCAACAGTGCATTACAAGACATCTATCAATATGTGTGCATACCTCCACCATTAAACTGTCATACTCTGCACATTTCTTATACTATCTACATACATAAGAGTATAATTAATGTGTATAATATCAGTTAAAATAAGTGCTTCAACATAGTTAACATTGCAGGAAAGCAATATATTAGACGTTAAGTACTTTGTCAGGCTTAATATTTATCTGTAGATAGATACCCCCAAAGCTTTTTTCTTATTTGAAAGAAGACCTTAACCCACTAAACTGTTTTATTGTAGAGATCACTTACAGTATCTTCTTGATTTTTCATATTCTATATTTCTATCATTGACCTTCTACTTTCCCCCTATTTTGTATTTTTTATTTTGTTAGACCTATATCATGTCTCGGGTCTGGGGCCTCATTTATAAAGGGATATATATATATTATCAAAAAATGGCGTACGCCAGTTTCTACGCAATGTTTGCGATTTATAAAATACTAACTTGACGGGAAAACGTGCGGTCCTCCACGCAAACTCTAACCCATGCGTACGCACTAAGCACAAACACGGAAGAGACGAGAAACTGCGACACCGTTGGCAGAAGGAAGAATGGAGAGAAATATGTGGAAATAATACCATAAATAAAATTGTACCTCTCATTTATCATATGAAGAATTCATTTTCAAACATTGATTAAAGCCAATCTTAAAATGATTAAACAAACGCCTGTTTGAGACTCCTCAGTGCACACAAAAACATAACTTGGAGAAATGGGGGGGGGGGGGGGGGTGTCTCCTGTCCCCGGTACAAACACACTGCCTGAGGAAGGCTATGTGTATTTATTTTGTCATTAACCTTTTTCGGACCACTTATTTATTTATTTTGGTGACGATCCGACCTCCATGCTGCTACTCTGGTTCAAACTGCATCCACCAAACAATATGATTTATCTCCACCTCCCCAAAATAACCAGAATCTGACACGGTGTGAGATGTCTTTTTTAGCTGTTCTGTCGTCATTTCCTGCGATCTTCTTCATAAAGTCAGTCAGAATGAATGAATGAATGAATGGGCGTTTCTTTGACTATTTATAGGCAAATATGGGCGTTACGTGAAGCCCGCAAAAGCTGCACCGCATTTCGAGTCGGTTGTGATTTATAAAGGGAAACCGGCGTAGGAAGTGCCATACGCACTTTCCTCGCCGGTACGCAATGTTTGGTGAATCGGAAAATGTCGGAAAATGTGTGTACCTATTTTTTGGATTTCTACTACGTAAGCAACCTTCCCACGTGAATCCTACGCACGGCGTTATAAATGAGGCCCCTGATCTTGACCAAAACAGTACCAAATGGGTGCAAATTGTGAACATAATACAAGGGTTAAAGTTTGATTTCTGCTGTGTCACTTCTTCACTGTGCCGCTCCATGTTATTGGCTCCTTCCAGGGTCAAATCTGAGTCCAGCTGGTTCAGCTTGTTCGCCAGTCAAACAACAAGCTTGTCTCAAAAGAGTATGCCATGTAGCACAGTGTAGCTGCAATGCTTGGCTGGGACTAGGGCTGTGACATCAACACATTCTCACTCCCAACTCGTACTATCGTGACGTTATGTCAGGATCCCTTGGCGTCACTATCAAATGCAGTGGGCCCTATAGCGTCGATTTTCAACTATCAGGGGGTCCCATTGACTTGCATAGAGCTCCCTGAACGTTGGTAATAGACGAGTTGGGATCGCGGGGAAATGCTCTCCGCAGATCCATTCTCACAGCGTTTATCTACCACACTTATTGTTTTTACTTCTTTATTTTAATTGTATAATGTCAGACTTTTGTTGTGGTCAGTTATGGGGAGAGTAGGGGCTCAGAATACTGAAATCTGTATTGTTTCATCGTTTTTTTCCTTCTAATTTTGTATTCTTTTCTAAAACACACACTGTTATTACTCAACAATAAGACACAATTATCCTTGTGTTTATTTATTTGTTTTATTATATAATATCGGACTTTTGGAGTCCGTCAGGACCGAGGGTCAGAGCAGCTCATAGTAGTTGCTTTAGAGAATTTTACACCCGGAAGTAAGTGTTCTCTCCACTTTGCTTGACAAACCTCGTGATTAGTCCTCAAGCTCTGTGATTGGTACCCACATGATAGCTAAGGTCAGAAGAGTTTTAACAGCTGGTCTTATGTTTGTGACCCCTCCTGTTGTTCATTGATAAGCCTGAAACAAGCACTTGTCAAGGTTCAGAGGCACATTTTGCAAATATGGCAGTAGCCATCGATCAGCTTAAGATAAGATATACTTTATTGATCCCAAGTTGGAAACATTTGCGTTACATCAGCATGTGTAACAGTTGTAAATATGCAGTGGTGTTTATTTGTAAATCATTTAGTATAATCACACAAATTCTGTGTTTTATATTTAACAATTCTGTGTTCTTTATTTATTGATTGTTCAATACCTGACAAGGCCGGAGATTAAAAAGTTCGGAGATTAAAAACTTTAATTTCGTTCTCTTTAATGTGTTAAAGCCTAGTTAGTTTGTCTGTTTTGCACATCCTCCTATTAATATATTTGGACATCTAAAGAGATCACTTACAGTATCTTCTTGATATTTTCTATTCTATATTTCTATAATTGACCTTCTACTTTCCCCCTATTTTATATGTAGGCCTACTCTTAATATTTGTATGTTTTCATCAAATATAACATATTCAACCAAAACATTCAATAACGTGCTTTAACCACTAGGTAGTGCAGGTTAAAAAACGGTCAAGTGTACAGTGTTAACACAATACAATATACTGCTGTTTCCAGTTTAGTTTATGATTGATGTATTTTCTTATCCACACATATATTGTTTTGATATTTGTAACACCAACCCGACAGAAAAGATGGTCTTGACATGACCCAGTGGTCTAGTTAAATATATTATCAAACATAATAAAAAAACTCTTATTTTGAAAATACAGCTTCCTTTGTTCGAATGAGCTGCTCTGACCCTCGGTCCTGACGGACTCCAAAAGTCCGACATTATACAATCAAACAAATAAATAAACACAAGTAAAATTGTGTCTCATTGTTGAGTAAATAACAGTGTGTGTTTTAGAAATGAATACAAAATTAGAAGGAAAAAACGATGAAACAATACAGATTTCAGTATTCTGAGCCCTATACTCTCCCCAGGC